TATATATTATAATGTGTGTTTTATAAAGCAACATGCGGATGTAAATTATGGATTATCTTCCAGTCGTTAAGTCGGAAAATTGGGTCTGAACATCAAGAAAGGTTGGCGATTAAACATCTTGTCCCGGAAGCAGAAATATTTGGGTCATGACTAGCGCCATGGCGGATTGAAAAAAATAGCACAAGCCTTTGTATCAAGAAGGGAGCCCGCCGTGGTCTAGCGGCTAGACGCTCGCCTGTGGATCGGAAGGTCGTGAGTTCGGGTCCTGATGGGGGCCGGACTTTTTTTTCTTCTTCACAAATCACCTTGGCTTCACTACTTTGAGTGGGTACCAGGTACAGTCCTGGGAAGTAAAGGCGGCCGGTGTGATGCTGACCACATAACCCGCCAAGTGCCTATTGGTCTAAAAAAAATATAGGTCTAGCCCTATATACATTGTAGGCCTGAAGGCGTCGAGAAGTGTCGCTTACTTTACCTCGGTAGCAAGAAGAAACCAACACGAAAATTAGCAGACCGAGTTTATTTCTGGCAGACCGTGATGAGAGCGACGAGGCCCCCCCCCCTCCACCCCCCCCCAGGCCCTTCCCCATTTCCATTTTCTTTGTGTCTTCATGCCTGGCGAAAGATGACCTATCCACTATCATGGTTTCTCCCGTCTAAACAAAAAATGTATTTATTTTCTCAGTTTTTGTAGTCTGCCATACCTCGCCCTTCACAGAGATGAACAGAACGAGTTTCCCAGGCGTTTCATGAATTGTGACTTTTGTTTTCTGAAAAGAAAATACAGATTTTCATTGTGTTTGTCAATTGCTCAGTGCAGGCCATCTGGCTGTTGCAGCAACGCTGTTTTTGTATCACCTTCTGTTAAGGCGGGCGACTCAGTCTAAACTCTTTTTGTGTCAGGCTTGCCTTCTGCAAGAGAATGCTTTAACGGGCATTGACATAAAGTAGCTCATGTTGATAGACAGACGCGATCATTTTTTCCCCCTAGTCTGGCGGCCCTGTTGCTTACCACAAGAGACCACCCTCATTGAGCGCGTAAACAGAACAAATGTTAGTTGCGTAACGTGTTGAGGGCGGTGCAGAAACAAGCCAAACATGTTTCGGCTGTTTAGTTTTATATTCAGCAGTTTGCCACTGCTTTGAGAAAAAGTAGAAAAAGGTGAGAGGATTGACTTAACTGCACAAGGTTTTATCCAATTTAGAAGAAGAAGAAGAAGCAGAAAGAAGAAGAAGAAGAAGAAGAAGAAGAAGAAGAAGAAGAAGAAGAAGAGGAAGAAGAAGAAGAAGAAGAAGAAGAAGAAGTAACAAAAGTAGAAAAAACAGAAAAAGAAACAGAAGAAGAAAAAAACAAGAAGAAGAAGAAGAAGAAGAAGAAGAAGAAGAAGAAGAAGAAGATGATGATGACTTAAGAAATGGTTGCGAGGGGGGAGAGAGAAGGTTTGAAGGATACAAATAATTACAGCAATGAACAACTTTTTAGAAGCTGCCTTATTGTCTCCAAGACAGACAACGGCCTAGAAACACTCAGTCCAGATGTGGCTTTATTCGATTAGTTTGAACTTTCACCCCGCATAGGACAGATTACTACTCTAGCCATCCGTCTTTTCTTGGCACGATGGTACACAGGATTCCTTTCACTGGATTCCCTTAAGGGAGAGCGAGAGAAACTGTGAAATTAAAACGAATGAAACAAGAGAAATGGGAATAAATTACACAAGCATGGATGTAAACGGGAGCGTTTCTGAACGTTTCCGCCGTTGAAAGAAATAGTTTCAGACAACAATGTCAAGGCTGTTGCAAAGCCCGGGTGTAAACAAACGGATGTACGTTGCTGAATGTGTGCTAGATTTGAGCTGAGTTTAAAACAGACATCGCAGTATTCAAGGGACATTCTCAAGAGAGTCCCCACCAAGAATTCCACTTCTGAAGGTTTCATAAGCAGTCTGACTGTATGTAGTGCTTCCTGCGTGTCTTCTGGGAGCTGTGTGTTTGCCAGATCTCCCAGTCACCGCTGGCTGCACCATTATGTGCACACGGTAATTACCGATCAAGTGGCATTCCGGACTGGACTCTTCGCTTGCTCCCACAGCGCCCTGACCACATCTAGCTCTGTCACACATCCTTTCCCCACCCTGTGGTGCAGCACCAGCCAGTCTGCCCTCCTGTTCATTTTCCAACACACCTGCATCACCTGGAGAAAATATCCACAAGACGATATGTACCAAAGACGCAGTTTGGGATATCTTATTTATCCTAGTCTCAAAGTAGATGACGTATAAGCTTGGTGCATTTGTTTCTCCATAGCCTTGTGATGTATATACTGTTAATCAGTTTTTGCATATATTTCTTGATCATGGCTACTCTTGGCATTTCGAAACACATACACTGTCTGTCACTTGACCATACATATATCCCTCTATCGTGAATGTTCTTGACATCTCAGAGAAGGCAGTTTGCCACTGCTTTCCTTATTGACAGTGGCCATACTGATGGTGTGACCAAACATTTGAAAACTTGGTTTCAGCACAAGAACTCATACACACACCATGTAATGATGCAGATGAAGGCACTGGTATCTTAGATGCTGCCAGACATAGTCGGGTTCTCATTAATTTTGTCGCAGAAGAAAAATGACCTCAGTGGAATCAAATGTGTTCCTGGAGGGGGGCTTGGTTGCAGGAAGCTTGCAAGAATTACAGTACCGGGTCCAACGGTACCATGGAGTCTAATTTCGTTGTTCTTGCATTAATCTCAATTAAGACCAGGACGTCTCCGGGCAGTAACAAACAGAAAGCGAGAATGTCGTTTAAATTCAGAAACGAGTTTAGGAACGGGACGTCTTCAATATTATTTAACGGTATTAAATATTTAGAAACCATTCTTGAGTAATGTGTTTAAGAATTAATCTCATGTTTCTCCATCGTAGTTATCTCCTTTTGCATAATTCTTTTAATTTTGAAAGAGTTAGTTCCTCTGCTTAAATTGCAGAATGGCGGATAAGGGAACAATGGGGAACTTTTTACAGATGCGGGGAAAATCAAATCAACTTTTGTATCCGCTTTCGGAAATCTTGGGTAAATTTGGAAGTAGCGAACTTGAGACTGTAGAAGTGGAAGGGTCTGGGGTTGAAATGGCCTGGAGAAAGGGCGATATATTTTACTGGATGTCAGTTGGGGGAGAAAAATTGCTTTCTTGTGGTTGCTCGTGAGTCAGTTCCGCTAGCAGGAAGACGATCGGGCCCGGACTGAGGCTGGAATTTGACTGGCGTCTGTCGGGAATCCACTTTTCTTGTTGTTTTGTTGTTGATAGCTGTCTCTGGGGTAGCAGTGGTGTCATTGTTTGTAGCTTTTTTGTTGAAGTAGCCTGTGCTGATAAGGCTATTTATTTTAATTGTAGGCAAGTAATTTATTCTTTGTCATTCCTAGTAGTTTTCCGTCACAGAGATTTACTTAAAACCCACCCGCACTGACACCCATGCTTGCACCCACACCCACAGTGGCCGGAAGATTACTTCGCTACCGTAGTGTGTGCTGAGAATGCCAGAACCGAGTTAGGAGAGGGATCTGTAAACCCCCCCCCCCCCCCCCTCTATTTCCTATCCAGGAACAATCTTGAGGATAAATTAGCTTCACTAGAAAATATGTCAGTGGACCACGCCACACCTCCCCCTCCTCCCCTCTCTCCCATATCGTGTATAGAAGTTCTATTGTTATGCATTTTTACAAAATATACTTTATAGTAATTCATGTATATATATATATATATATATATATATATATATATATATATATATATATATATATATATATATATATATATATATATAATTACATTTATTTGTAATTCAGCACATCATAATTACTATGGAAAATAATTATTTTAAATATTATTATTAAACACTTAGACAAGGCTTATGCCCACCTTTCGTAGACAATTTATCAGAAGGCTCTGTCCCGTCTGTTTTTGCCGGTTTGCATTCCAACGGTAATTAGGTTTTGCATGGATCAATGGGGGACAGGGTTGGCACTACAGCCTTCCAGTGGTAACCAAGTTGTATGGATCAGTTGGGGGACAGGGTTGGCACTACAGCCTTCTAGTGGTGACCAGGTTGTATGGATCAGTGGGGGACACGGATAGCACTACAACCTTCCAGTGGTGACCAAGTTGTATGGATCAATGGGGGACAGGGTTGGCACTACAGCCTTCCAGTGGTAACCAAGTTGTATGGATCAGTGGGGGACAGGGTTGACACTACAGCCTTCTAGTGGTGACCAGGTTGTATGCATCAGTGGGGGGGGGGGGGGGGGGGGGGGGGGGGGGGGACAGGGTTGGCACTACAGCCTTCCAGTGGTGACCAAGTTGTATGGATCAGTGGGGGACAGGGTTGACACTACAGCCTTCTAGTGGTGACCAGGTTGTATGCATCAGTGGGGGGGGGGGGGGGGGGGAAACAGGGTTGGCACTACAGCCTTCCAGTGGTGACCAAGTTGTATGGATCAGTTGGGGGACAGGGTTGGCACTACAGCCTTCTAGTGGTGACCAAGTTGTATGGATCAGTTGGCACCTTAGCCTTTATAGAGGTCTCTTGTGCGAAAATCATTGTCATTGAGAATGAGATGAAGAAATGTGAACTGATCTGCTCAACCCCATGTACATTTTTAAAACAAACTGCAGTGTGTTTTTTTTTTTTCTTTTAAATTAAAAGTTGTTCAACTTTCTAAACATAAGTTGTCACTTCTCTCGCAGACATCCTGTCTGGACAGCCGGACCTGACGCAATCAGTGGTCACTGTCCAACACCAGAACCACAGCAACCAGACCTACAACAACAGCCAGGGCTCCAACGACTCGCCCAGCACCAACCTCGTCAGTTCCATGGACAAGATCTCCTCTTACATCGGCGGCGCTGACTCGCCCTTCACACAGGACAGTTCGCCGTCATACAGCGTCCCGGAGCTCCCCAACATTTACCCACAATCCGTCTTGGACGCCTGCCAGTACACCGTTCCGGACAACCAATTCAACATATATTCCCCACTCAGCCAGTCTCAGTTCACACAAATTCCACAATCATACTCCACCGGTCCCACTCCGTACTCCTCAACTTCCGCTCATCAGTATTTCCAGGATTCACCAGGAATTCCTCAAAGACACTCAGGAAATTTAGGACAGGTTTCCATGAATAAAACAATGCTAATGGAGCCGATAAGCCACAATTTAAACATTGCAATGGAAAAAATGGGCATGAAGGAAAGTAAGAGTGGATTGCCGCCTCCGCCGTCAATATCGTCGTGTGATAGCCGACCCATGTCGCAGTGTGAGAGTCTCCAGAACAGTAGGCAGTCGGTGATTTCCGTTCAGTTACCAGGGAATGTGGACTCGGAGGCTGTGACCTGGAGTACCTTCAACCATACTGGGGGACGTCTGGTACTACCTGAGTCAGGTGAGTTGACTTCTTGCTGTTCATAGAAGTGTTAGTCTGCCTGCCATGTAGCCGCAAGTTCCATGCTGCCAAAAGAGACGTTGTCTAGCCTGTTCCAGTCTCATTGTACACATGAAGATTTGAACTGCGCGATAGCTGTTATTAGGGCTAACCACCTCCTGAGGTAAATGTTTCTGACAAAATGATTGAAGGAGACGACGATGAAGAAGAAGAAGAAGAAGAAGAAGAAGAAGAAGAAGAAGAAGAAGAAGAAGAAGAAGAAGAAGAAGAAAAAAGAAGAAGATGATGATGATGATGAAGAAAAAGAAGATGATGAAGAAGAAAAAGAAGACGAAGAAGAAGAAGAAGAAGAAGAAAAAGAAGAAGAAGAAGAAGAAGAAGAAGAAGAAGAAGAAGAAGAAGAAGAAGAAGAAGAAGAAGAAGAAGAAGAAGAAGAAGAAGCAGAAGAAGAAAAAGAAAAAGAATTAAAAAAAAACATTTTAAAAACTCTTTCCTAGTTGGGAGTCACGGTGGTGTAGCGGTTAGATTGTCGCCCCCTGACTGAAGGTCATAGTTCAGATCTCATTAGGGTGGACTTTACAGAAACATTAAGCCTAGGCTCCCACCCTAAAATGGACATCAGGTGAAGTTCTGAGAAAAAGAGGCCAACGACGGGATATTGACCTCAAAGGCTGGTTGTTCCAGAGAAGTGTTGTTCTAGCGCTTGAATCTTGATCCATAAAAGACGTGATACCAGTGTTGCCACTTTTCTTTGACAAAAAACATCCAAAACGGAGTCAAAAAATATCTAAATAATCTACATTTGCGTAGAAAACATCTAGAAAAAACATCCAAATGGAAAGAGTCACACATTACATAGCAGTTGATATGACTTACCCTATAGAATCATGTCCTTATCTTTACTGAAGTTTGCCTCACAAGATCCACAGGATAAACTTAGCTTGGATGATGAAGTTGAAGCTTCAGATCCAAAATGACTCTGGTTTGCATTAGCTGTTCCAATTTCTTTTAATACCCAATCAGGAAACTGATAAGTGGAACAGCCTTTTCCTACTCTTATCAGGCCGAATTTTACTGTCAAGATAGCATTTAAGATGTTAAATTTCATCCTGTTTCTTAGGTTAGATTTGATAAATTCACTCCAAATGAAAAACTTCTAGAAAAACATCTACTATCTAAACGTTAAACACGCCATCTAAATGCCAGGAAAAACATGTAAATCTGTATGTAAAACATCCAAAGTGGCAACACTGCGTGATACCAGTCTGTTACTGTAAATACTTAGTTCTTGGTGATTGACATTAGCAGGACGGAGCTGTGCTATGATATAAATATGTCGCCGCATCAGACGGCACCGTAAGGGGGACGGTTTGAGCATCAAAATGAAAATGCAATTAAACTTTTGATCTGACTGAACGAAGATATTAGAGCGGCATTGGACAGATGCAGCACACAGAGAAAATCTGCCGCACTCGACTCAAGATGATGATGATGGTGATATCAGTTATTCAACTAAACACACTGTTCTTTGGAGAGGCAGACGAAGAGAGATAGAGAAACACACAGAGTTAGACGAACAATTAGGCAGACGGACAGACTGGCAGAGAATGAAAAACAGAGACAGTCAACGCGATTGGAAGTTAACACAGACAGATATCATCATCATCATCATCATCAGGTGCCTTGCCGACCGGCGTGGGCGACCATGCCTCTCCATAATCTGCGATCTCCTGCAGCATGTATCCGTTCGTGTGCCGACACACCTCCATGCCATGTATCAAGACTGTCAACCATCTTCTCTCGTTGTCTTCCTCTATCCCTCCTTCCACAGATCTTTCCAGTGGTCACAACATGTTCTATTTTCCCTCTTCTTATAACAGAGAGTGGAAGTTAACACAGACAGATATAAGTCATCGTATTAACACCCACTATTCCATAATACCAGTCACTTTATAATAAACCCTTTTCTCACAGATACAGGCTACATTTCTTTCTTTATCATAATCTCTTTTAGCTGCATCAGAATGCCAGCAATCGCTTCCTTCACTACCAAGGACAACCGCTTCACCGCCGACATCTGTTCTGCATCAGTTTCTTTACACACTGCACTATTTGCTGCCCAACGTAATCGGATATTTCCTTTCAGTACAGATATAGCAATTAGATTGTGGGAAAATCCGAACTGGTGTGCAATACTACACGCAGTAGGCGTTCGCAAGTGGTGCATAATGGTGCGGAATGTGGGAGCACGACGGAGGTCGAGTTTCAATGTTCAGCTCCCGTCCTGGTTTGAGATAATCCGAAGTGGCAATTTGTGTAATGGAATCTGGATTTAGGGAAAGTAAAACTGGGTTAACAAAAAAAACATGGGGTGTAGGAAACTAGCTAGAAGGAATTTCATTACTAATTATCTAACTTGCGACCTTTGGTCTTTTATCATGCAGTCTTTTTGGCTCCACCTCCACACATACATACATACATACATACATACATACATACATGCATGCATGCATGCAGGCAGGCAGGCAGGCAGGCAGGCAGGCAGGCAGGCAAGCAGGCAGGCAGGCAGGCAGGCAGGCAGGCAGGCAGGCAGACAGACAGACAGACAGACAGACAGACAGACAGACAGACAGACAGACAGACAGACATACATACATACATACATACATACATACATACATACATACATACATACATACATACATACATACATACATACATACATACATACATACATACATACATACATACATACATACATACATACATACATACATACATACATACATACATGTACGCACTCACGCACATACGTACAGACAGTTACACCGACATTCATACCCACACAGACATTCATACCCACACAGACATTCATACCCACACAGACATTCAAAGCCCCATAGACATTCATTGCCACACATATATTCATACCCACATAGGCATACATAATACACACACAAACATATCCGCACATACACACATACGCACATACACACATACACACATACACACATACACACATACACACATACACACATACACACATACACACATACACACATACACACATACACACATACACACATACGCACATACGCACATACACACATACACACATACACACATACACACATACACACATACACACATACACACATACACACATACACACATACACACATACACACATACACACATACACACATACACACATACGCACATACACACATACACACATACACACATACACACATACACACATACACACATACACCCTCTGCAAGATCTGAATATGAAATTATTTCAGTCCCAGTGTACGCAGCATACGTTCAAATGTTCCTACTTAGAAGCCCAGTCAACGCAAGAGGCGTCAATTTTACTTTTCTCCTTGCTACCCTTTGGGCCTCTGAGGCTAAACCCCCTGGGTCTTACAGAGATAACTTGGCCCACTGCCTTCTCTAGAAAGCTGGAGCCCGCCCGTGTTTGGTCATAGCTAGTCGACCTGGCCGAACGGTTAAGAACGTTACGCTGTCATACAGGAGGCGGAGGGTTAAATATGAATAGGTAAGGATGTGAGGTTGATTTCTGTCAGGAGCAAAAAAATTAAAATCCTAACTAAAACTCTGCATACAAGTAATCCAGATCTGTAAACCGGATATGCACACAAAACTCAAATTCTGGATCTGGACTAAATTCCAGAAGTGGACGAACAAGTACAAAACTGCACTGATGTTTACAGCCGGTGAACATTGAAGACTGTAAGCAAAGTTACGGACTCCTTGCCACGCCTTCAGGCGAATTGGGCATATAGGGCTAGACATATAATTTATAGATCGGTATGGAGATAGTGAAAACATTTTGTCAATTAATTTTTTTAGAAGAAATAACAAAGAATGAGTCTGCAAAATCACATAAGTTATGTAATAAAATAATCTAAAATACTCTAAGTTGTAACAAAAACTTGTAGTTTCTTGATTTCCCAAATACAAAATTATCGATTAAGCATCAACAGATATGCCCGCAGCCTAACACGTCGCTCTCGATACACATGATGCTAGTTGCCGTCAGTATTTTTGAAGACATATGTTCTCATTGAAATTTGTTTAAAAATTTTATTTGGCTGTGAAAATGACCTTTTTCCTGAGTCTGTAGGCCCCTTCAGATTGTGAGGCCCTAAATTATAGCCTATTTAGCGTATACCTATAGAGATGGAGGCAGCGACTGCTGCCTTTGTAATTGTAACTGACTCACAGAGTATTTTGAGAAAAGGTGAACAGGCATGCTCCGTGCAGAGTGGTAAGCATAGCTTCAGAGGTCCCAGGTAGTTATCCTTCTTTGGATATTTTCTCCAAGTTATGCCGGTGTTCTGGTATAGTAGCAGGCAGATAGGCTGACCAGTTCTGCACCAATTGGTGGTGAATTGATGTCAAACAAGCCAGATGTTGTGAGGGCCCTTTGGGAGCGAGTGAACAGTGCGGATAAATCATTACGGCCTGAGGAGAATGACGCTGTAGGGAGTTACCAGGGGATCTCTCCGACGCTCAACACTCAAGAGAGGGGCGAGACGGATAGACAGTCAGACATTTAGTGGTGCAATCAGAATTGGAACTCTTCGTTTGCTGCTGAAGATGGGGACGGAGCGCGTATGGAGTGTATCGAGTGCTGTGATGTCCATTCTTAATTCAACATTGAACATAGCTTATTGCTAAATCGGTGGGATTGTGGGGGGGGGGGGGGGGGGCGGGGGGTATGGCTGTATCAGTCTGTATTGTGGTAATCAACCTTCAGTGTGAGATAGTCGGAAGAATACTCACATCTGAGGCAAGGGGAATTTCACATTCAGTCTTTGATCTCAGATGACCACTTGACCTTCCTGTAGGTGTGATGCTGACCGTTCCAGAAGGGGCCATCCAGAAGGGCCACGTGGAAGAGCTGTACATGGCCGTCTGTAGGGACGACAAGGACAGGCCCAGACTGGCAGGTCAGTCAATGTTTGTGGCTGAGTTGAGTGTCTTGTTTTATGTTATCTTTTTCTTCTTCTTCGCGTTCACCAGCTGTAAACTCCGGCCGAAAGTTCTTGTTATTCGTCCACTTCTTGACTGTAGTTCTGTTAGAGAGCCTAAGTGTTGCGTGTGTATCCGTTTGACAGATCCTACTCATTTGTGTGCAGACTGTTGGTTCCTTGCCTCATAGGCAGATGGACTGACTTCGAAGGAAGCTCCCAATTAGTCGACACTTACGACATGCTTTTGGGTAGGCAGTGGGTCTATTCTTGTTTTTCCTGTATTGGGTTGTATGTTGTGAAACAGTCAAATGTTGGGATATCTACTTTCATCTGTTGTTATATTATGTAACAATTGGACAAATGTTAGAGGTATCTACTTTCATCTTGTGTTATATTATGTAACAATCGGCCACATGTTGGAGGTATCTACTTTCATCTTGTGTTATATTATGTAACAATCGGACAAATATTGGAGGTATCTACTTTCATCTTGTGTTATATTATGTAACAATCGGCCACATGTTGGAGGTATCTACTTTCATCTTGTGTTATATTATGTAACAATCGGCCACATGTTGGAGGTATCTACATTCATCTTGTGTTATATTATGTAACAATCGGCCAAATGTTGGATGCGTACTTACAAACATCAGACTGGATAGAGTCCAGTGATTTCTTTATTCATGTTCACTTACAGAACATAAGTCCAGTGATTTTATTATTCATGTGCACTTACAGAACATAAGTCCAGTGATTTTATTATTCATGTGCACTTACAGAACATAAGTCCAGTGATTTTATTACTCATGTGTACTTACAGAACATCAGTCCAGTGATTGTATTTTTCATGTGCACTTACAGAACATCAGTCCAGTGATTGTATTTTTCATGTGCACTTACAGAACATCAGTCCAATGCTTTTATTATTCATGTGCACTAACAGAACATCAGTCCAGTGATTTGAAATTTTCATGTGCACTTACAGAACATCAGTCCAGTGATTTTTTTTTTCATGTGCTCTTATAGAACATCAGACTATCCTGAGTCCAGTGATCCTGGTGGGTCCACCCAGCGTCCAGCTGATGAAGCCAGTGGTCATCTCTTTCCAGCACTGCGCTAACATGCGCCAAGGAGGCTGGGTGCTCTCTGTCTACAAAAGTGAATCTCCGATTGATGAGCCCCCTTACTGGGCGGTGAGTATTACTGATTCAGTAAGGTTGTTTTCTGTTATGTACAAGCGGAAGTCTTTAAGTAAGTCACAAATAAGTGTTTGAAAAAAAAACAGGCCTCAGAAATGAGGTATCTGAGAAAGGTGGTTCAAGCAACAAGAAAGGACAAAACACGCAGTTAAACTTACATCATTTTCTTGAAAGCAAGGCCTGATAAACCCGAGGCGAATCAGTCACAGTTACGATGATAAGGACATGTATGCAGAATGTGAGAAAATCGGCCACCATGGCAGGCATGGAAGGCTATGAACCAGGGAACCAAACCATCAGGGCAACCAAGGGCCCCCTGGGAAGACAACATCCGACAGTCACTGACTGACAGAGGACTGGAATGGAACAAAGCAAAAGAGAAGTCAGGCTATCTGTCTGGCGAACCTCTACACAACAGAGTAGAAGAGAGCGGCTAAGTCTGTAAGAGTTACAGTTGTCATCACAGGTGATTAAGTGAGTGACATTCAGCCCTACCAGGACTGGACAACAAGGGATAAACACTTGGTGATACAAATTGCCACCATCTGGATGAAAATCCCCAGGCGCATGTCCCGGAAACCCTGTTCAACCGTTAGAATAAATTAGTACCCCCTACAACAACCAGTAATGTAGATAAAGATGGAGGAACTGATAGAGATATTTTTTTTTTAAATTCAAAAGGCAAGAGGAGCTTTCATAGCACTAGGGCATTTGTGGAGGTCAAAAGAAATTGAAAGAAATACTAAACTAAAAATTGTTAATTCTAATCAGTACTTTTGTATGGGGCGGAAGCGTGGAGAACAGCTAAGGCAATAACTAATAAATTACAGACATTAATTAACTAGTGCCTGCGCAGAATAGAGAGAATTAAATGGTATGATAGAATAACCAATGTAGAGCTTTGGGAGAGAACTAAACAGGCTCCAGTGGACTAAGAGGTGAGGAAACGACGCTGTCGTTGGATAGGACAAACACTGAGAAAACAGGAGAACAGTATAACTAGAATGTCTTTGCATTGGAACCGACAGGGGCATAGGAATAAAAGAAGGCCAAAAAAAAAAAACACACACGGAGAAGAGAGCTGGAGAATGAAGTTAGAAAGATGGGGAGGACATGGGCAGAGCTCCATGTAATGGCGAAGAATAGAACGACTTGGCGTGAGTTGGCTGAGGGCCTATTAGGGGATAGAAAGGCAGAAGAAGAAGAGACAACAGCCAGGGTGGGGCTTTGAAACAACAAGGAAATTGAATCCCATACTGGGGTGGAGCAGCATCACAGACCTCGGAACATACCCCCTCCCTCCCCATCTTCAGCAGTAAGCAAACAGTTTCAGTTCCAGTGCTACCAGTAGCAGTTTGATTATAAACACGTATGTCCATGAAATCGAGAGCATTGCACAGACTAAAACTGTGAATAGGGGGAAATAGGGGTGGGGGTGGGGGGAGGGGTTTTTGTGATGTTTAACAGCACAGAAGAATGATGGTGATGATTCGTTGCCTTCTTCTTCTTCTGCTTCTTTCGTTCGCCTGAAATAAATTGTCTATATCAGCAGTTTTGTCTCTTGTATAAATTTCACTATCGTTGTTAGTTCATTCAGTGGTCCATAGAGTTTACGTGTCAAATTCGGTGCAGTCCTGGAGTACATGCTCTGCTGTCTGGGGCACCTTTCCACAGGCGCACATGGCTGATACGCCTATCTTAAATTGTGTGTACATGTGGTTACGTAATCGGCTGTGCCCTGTTCTGAGGCGGAGGATAATGACTTGTTCTGGTCTGTCCATAATAAAATAGTCGTCTTGTGCTGGGGCTGGTGATTTACTGATCAATGTGATCGTTGATTCGTTGCCTAATGTTACAACTATTTCCCCTTAACGCCAAAAGCTGCACAATAACTTCTTGTTCTTCCTTAAAGTCGAGTCAACTAAAGGACCATTTTTCATAACATCAGGCGAACTGGGCATATAGGGCTAGACCTTTATTTTATAGACTAAGTGATGTGGTCAACATCATGCCGACCGCCTTTACTCTCCAGGACGTCTGCTACCCATTTTAGCCTGGATCGACCTGAGAGCCGAGGTTTGTTTTAAAATATGTTCGGTTCCTCCAGCACCTGAACCCACGACCTTCACATCCAACAGTGATCGTCCTGCCACTACACCACGACGGCTTCATGTTTCCCTATATGAGACAGGAAAAGATATGAAAAAAAAAGGATACAAACTGGAGGGGGGGGGGGAACATAAAATGTATGTCAGCTTTATAGAACACATTACAAAGGACACTGTGACTAGGGGGGGGGGGGGAACACACGCATGCACGCGCGCGCACACACACACATACACACACACACGCACACAAACTGACCTTACCTTCTTGCTCCATTCAGTGTGTGTTGATTCCGATATATATTTCAGAGAGTGGTTGTTCTTGGCCACGAAGGCATCAATTGTCCCATCTACACACAGCTGGATCCAAACCAGTGCCATGTGATGACGGAGTTCCTCAATCGCTACACGCTGATCGGAGAATCAGTGCCTGGGGGTCGTGCCCTCAAGATCTACAGATTAGCCGCCTTTGCCCCTGCTGTGCCTCCATCTGTTGATTACAGCATTCGTGTGTATGTGGTCGAGGACACCTTTGATGCATTGGACGTAAGTGCTTGATCTGTAGGATTATCATACATCCTATTTTAGTAGATAATTGGCTGGCTGATCTGTTGACTAGTAGATTTACTGACTGGCTGATCCGTTGACTAGTAGATTGACTGACTAACTGATATGTTGACTAGTAGAGTGACTGGCTAACTGATCTGTTGACTAGTAGATTGACTGGCTAACTGATCTGTTGACTAGTAGATTGACTGACTGGCTGATCTGTTGACTAGTAGATTGACTGGCTAACTGATCTGTTGACTAGTAGATTGACTGGCTAACTGATCTGTTGACTAGTAGATTGGCTGACTGGCTGATCTGTTGACTAGTAGATTGACTGACTGGCTCATCTGTTGACTAGTAGATTGACTGGCTAACTGATCTGGTGACTAGTAGATTGACTTGACTGGCTGATCTGTTGACTAGTAGATTGACTGGCTAACTGATCTGTTGACTAGTAGATTGACTGGCTAACTGATCTGTTGACTAGTAGATTGACTGACTGGCTGATCTGTTGACTAGTAGATTGACTGACTGGCTGATCTGTTGACTAGTAGATTGACTGGCTAACTGATCTGTTGGCTAGTAGATTGACTGACTGGCTAATCTGTTGACTAGTAGATTGGCTGGCTAACTGATCTGTTGACAAGTAGATTGACTGGCTAACTAATCTGTTGACTAGTAGATTGACTGACTGGCTGATCTGTTGACTAGTAGATTGACTGGCTAACTGATCTGTTGACTAGTAGATTGACTGACTGGCTGATCTGTGGACTAGTAGATTGACTGGCTAACTGATCTGTTGACTAGTAGATTGACTGACTGGCTGATCCGTTGACTAGTAGATTGACTGGCTAACTGATCTGTTGACTAGTAGATTGACTGACTGGCTGATCTGTTGACTAGTAGATTGACTGGCTAACTGATCTGTTGACTAGTAGATTGACTGAGTGGCTGATCTGTTGACTAGTAGATTGACTGGCTAACTGATCTGTTGACTAGTAGATTGACTGACTGGCTGATCTGTTGACTAGTAGATTGACTGGCTAACTGATTTGTTGACTAGTAGATTCACTGAATGGCTGATCTGTTGACTAGTAGATTGACTGGCTAACTGATCTGTTAACTAGTAGATTGACTGGCTAACTGATCTGTTGACTAGTAGATTGACTGGCTAACTGATCTGTTGACTAGTAGATTGACTGACTGGCTGATCTGTTGACTAGTAGATTGACTGACTGGCTGATCTGTTGACTAGTAGATTGACTGACTGGCTGATCTGGTAAATAGTAGATTGACTTGACTGGCTGATCTGTTGACTAGTAGATTGACTGACTGGCTGATCTGTTGACTAGTAGATTGGCTGGCTAACTGATCTGTTGACTAGTAGATTGACTGACTGGCTAATCTGTTGACTAGTAGATTGGCTGGCTAACTGATCTGTTGACTAGTAGATTGACTGACTAACTAATCTGTTGACTAGTAGATTGACTGACTGGCTGATCTGTTGACTAGTAGATTGACTGGCTAACTGATCTGTTGACTAGTAGATTGACTGGCTAACTGATCTGTTGACTAGTAGATTGACTGGCTAACTGATCTGTTGACTAGTAGATTGACTGACTGGCTGATCTGTTGACTAGTAGATTGACTGACTGGCTGATCTGTTGACTAGTAGATTGGCTGGCTAACTGATCTGTTGACTAGTAGATTGACTGACTGGCTAATCTGTTGACTAGTAGATTGATTGACTGACTGATCTGTTGACTAGTATATTGATTGACTGACTGATCTGTTGACTAGTAGATTGACTGGCTAACTGATATGTTGACTAGTAGATTGACTGGCTAACTGATCTGTTGACTAGTAGATTGACTGACTGGCTGATCTGTTGACTAGTAGATTGACTGACTGGCTGATCTGTTGACTAGTAGATTGGCTGGTTAACTGATCTGTTGACTAGTAGATTGACTGACTGGCTGATCTGTTGACTAGTAGATTGGCTGGCTAACTGATCTGTTGACTAGTAGATTGACTGGCTAACTGATATGTTGACTAGTAGATTGACTGACTGGCTGATCTGTTGACTAGTAGATTGACTGGCTAACTGATCTGTTGACTAGTAGATTGACTGACTGGCTGATCTGTTGACTAGTAGATTGACTGACTGGCTGATCTGTTGACTAGTAGATTGGCTGGCTAACTGATCTGTTGACTAGTAGATTGACTGACTAACTGATCTGCTGACTAGTATATTGACTGGCTAACTGATCTGTTGACTAGTAGATTGACTGGCCGATTGATCTGTTGACTAGTAGATTGACTGACTGGCTGATTGATTTGTTGACTAGTAGATTGACTGACTGGCTGATCTGTTGACTAGTAGATTGGCTGACTGGCTGATTGATTTGTTGACTAGTAGATTGATTGACTGACTGATCTGTTGACTAGTATATTGATTGACTGACAGATCTGTTGACTAGTAGATTGACTGGCTAACTGTTATGTTGACTAGTAGATTGACTGGCTAACTGATCTGTTGACTAGTAGGTTGACTGACTGGCTGATCTGTTGACTAGTAGATTGACTGGCTAACTGATCTGTTGACTAGTAGATTGACTGACTGGCTGATCTGTTGACTAGTAGATTGACTGGCTAACTGATCTGTTGACTAGTAGATTCACTGACTGGCTGATCTGTTGACTAGTAGATTGACTGGCTAACTGATCTGTTGACTAGTAGATTGACTGGCTAACTGATCTGTTGACTAGTAGATTGACTGGCTAACTGATCTATTGACTAGTAGATTGACTGACTGGCTGATCTGTTGACTAGTAGATTGACTGACTGGCTGATCTGTTGACTAGTAGATTGACTGGCTAACTGATCTGTTGACTAGTAGATTGACTGACTGGCTGATCTGTTGACTAGTAGATTGACTGACTGGCTGATCTGTTGACTAGTAGATTGGCTGGCTAACTGATCTGTTGACTAGTAGATTGACTGACTGGCTAATCTGTTGACTAGTAGATTGGCTGGCTAACTGATCTGTTGACTAGTAGATTGACTGGCTAACTAATCTGTTGACTAGTAGGTTGACTGACTGGCTGATCTGTTGACTAGTAGATTGACTGGCTAACTGATCTGTTGACTAGTAGATTGACTGGCTAACTGATCTGTTGACTAGTAATTTGACTGGCTAACTGATCTGTTGACTAGTAGATTGACTGACTGGCTGATCTGTTGACTAGTAGATTGACTGACTGGCTGATTGATCTTTTGACTAGTAGATTGACTGACTGGCTGATCTGTTGACTAGTAGATTGGCTTACTGGCTGATTGATTTGTTGACTAGTAGATTGATTGACTGACTGTTCTGTTGACTAGTATATTGATTGACTGACTGATCTGTTGACTAGTAGATTGACTGGCTAACTGATATGTTGACTAGTAGATTGACTGGCTAACTGATCTGTTGACTAGTAGGTTGACTGACTGGCTGATCTGTTGACTAGTAGATTGGCTGGCTAACTGATCTGTTGACTAGTAGATTGGCTGGCTAACTGATCTGTTGACTAGTAGATTGACTGACTGGCTGATCTGTTGACTAGTAGATTGACTGGCTAACTGATCTGTTGACTAGTAGATTGACTGGCTAACTGATCTGTTGACTAGTAGATTGACTGACTGGCTGATCTGTTGACTAGTAGATTGACTGGCTAACTGATCTGTTGACTAGTAGATTGACTGGCTAACTGATATGTTGACTAGTAGATTGACTGGCTAACTGATCTGTTGACTAGTAGATATACTGACTGGCTGATCTGTTGACTAGTAGATTGACTGACTGGCTGATCTGTTGACTAGTAGATTGGCTGGCTAACTGATCTGTTGACTAGTATATTGATTGACTGACTGATCTGTTGACTAGTAGATTGACTGGCTAACTGATATGTTGACTAGTAGATTGACTGGCTAACTGATCTGTTGACTAGTAGGTTGACTGGCTAACTGATCTGTTGACTAGTAGATTGACTGGCTAACTGATCTGTTGACAGGTAGATTGTCTGACTGGCCGATTGATCTGTTGACTTGTAGGTTGACTGGCTAACTGATCTGTTGACTTGTAGGTTGACTGGCTAACTGATCTGTTGACTAATAGATTGATTGACTCACTGATCTGTTGACTAGTAGATTGACTGACTGGCTGATTGATCTATTGACTAGTCGATCTACTGGCAGATTGCAGATTGGCTGGCTAAACATTTAGCTGGCGGATTAGTTTGTTGGTTGGAAAGCCAGTTGGTTGGAAAGCCAGTTGGTTGGTTAGCTAGCTAGTTGGGGTTTGGTTGGTTGTTTCACTGGATGGTCGCCTTGTTAGTTGATTGACTGGCTAGTGGTTAATGTTTTGGCTAGCGTGTTAGTTAATTGCCTGGCGTGTTGGTTGATTGGCTGGCGTTTTGGTTGTTTGGCTGGCGTGTTGGTTGTTTGGATGGCGTGTTGGTTGTTTGGATGGCGTGTTGGTTGTTTGGCTAGCGTGTTGGTTGATTGGCTAGCGTGTTGGTTGATTGGTTGGATGGTTAACATTATTGTGGTGTTTGGGTTTTGCTTGGTTGATTGCTTGTAGCAGAAACAAGAAGGAAAACAAGGTTGTTCTACAAGTTCAGCTCTTGAGCCTTTTGAAATGAATATCGTCCTCTCATGGGTTCAGTGATGATCTCATTCATTAAATAATGCCATACATCTACAGGGTGTCATTCAGGTGGAGAGAAAACTCGGTGGCAAACTTCTAGACAAACCAAAACAGATTCCATTCCAAGATGGTGGCAACAACTTGTGCCTCACAATAGAGGAACTCTCCTCAGGCTGGAGGAGCAAACTGGCTGCTAGTTACCAGGTAATTGACTTTCACTGTTATAGAGACCAGAATATTTTGTTTGTCATTCGAGCTATGGCCTACATTAAAAATGAAAAAAAATGGCCGGTTATGTCACGCAAATAAATTATCAGTGTGAGCTTCATAAAAACCATGCGTTATGGTTTTAGCCATCCGGTCTGTCTACAACCTTCATATTTGTAACATACGGTTATCCTGACCTGTATGGGGTTTGGGGTCCTCACATTGAGAGAAAGGAGCGGAGAGGGGGGGGGGGAGAGTGGTACACCCACTGCCTCCGTTACAATATGTTGTAAAAGCTGACTAATTATGGTGTTTCCTTTTAAGTCGCAGTGCAGTTGTTTGAGAAGCAAGGAAACTAACAGTTAGCATGCATACCAGTAAATCAGATCCGTTGAATGAATATGCACACATATAACTTAAGTTCTAGAACAAGACCAAAGTTTAGATGTGGACGAACAACTCAAACTTTCCGTTTGTGTTTACAGCTGGTTAATACACACACACACACACAAAAAAAAGAAGAAGAAAAAGGAATAGAAATAAATCGTACTGTCTGTGTGGATACATAGTTTTTCTTGTCACTGGAAGATCAATACTGTCATATGATTCACCAAGCCAAATTACATTTAACATGAATTCTGCCTGCCTTCACAAAGCGCCTTTGGTCGCTTTTTGAAATTTTTTGTTAAAAGACCTTCTGTTGGCTTCAGAAATGCCCTGTTCAACTTTCCAACACGGAATACACCGTTGATGTCGATTGCAAACTGTTCAACGTGTTGTTTATGTCTGCATTATTTAAATTCACTGCGCAAAAACATTGTTTTTAATCATTCACATTTTTTATGACAGGAGATTCCTTTCCGTCACATTTGGAGCGGAAATCAGAATAACCTTCACTGCTCGTTCAGTCTGGAGCTGGTGGAGAGATCTGTCAGCAAACTTGCTTGTAAGATACAGGTCTATCAGAAAGCCATACTCAGCAATAGACAGACCCTTCTCATCAACTGTAACCTGAAAGATGTGAGTACGATTGAAAACAAAACCCAAAAAAATCCTTCTATTGTTCGTCTCAGAAATCTTGTCACTGTGTTGTGTTGTTGTTGTGTTGTGTTGTTGTTGATACAATCAGTAGCCCTCCCTTGGCTCAAGTACCAGCAGCGTTGCGCGCGCGCGCGCACACACACACACACACATATATATGTTGTGACTGTCACAGACACAAAAGCATGCAGAGAAAGGTGGGAGACAGGTGGACAGTGGGAACATTTCAAAAGTCTGGGATAGTTAGCATCCTTTGGATATTTTCTCTAGTATGTAGGTGTATTGGGAAATGAAGAGTCAGACAGGGTGGCTAGTTCTGCATGACTCAGTGGTTCACTGATGCTTGACAAGATTGATTTTGCTTATTTTCTTTGTACATGTTACATTATGTCAAATAGATGATTTAATCTATTTACTATTCAGCATATGGCAGTAATTATCATTATTATTAGTCACTTAGTCGGCTCTGTGGCTAAGTCGATGCAAACGCTTCGTAATGCCGGGTTCGATCCCAGCTGAGGGCTATGCCTCTTGCGTTCGTTTCGACAGTGGTGTCAAGAAAGCCGACCGTCCAGGAAGCAGTGGCAAACTACTGGACGTAAATTTGCCTAGAAAAAGCACGTTGGTTCTGCAACGTCATGTTAAGGACACGCAACTAACCTATTAGTCACTTAAACAAGGCCAGTTAAAGAACTCTTGCAACATGTGTAAAACGGCCGAGGCGTCCTGTGAGCCCCTTCCCTTCCCCTTTGTTTTCTTTGTGAAGACCTACCAGTTGATAACTTCAAGAACTGCTTGTCTGCTTGGAAGTTCCTGGCCTGGCTATCCAGAAAGACAATTTAAGATTCCGGTGTTATGATGCCAGGTAGGGCCAACAATCTTGAGAATCTCGGGGCGTTGTTTTTGTTTGAACAATCTAAATGAGATTCACAGAAAGAAAATGTCTGCCCTACATTCCTGCTTCCCATTTGATGAATGTACTTCTTTTTCGTGTGTTTCTTTCTCTGTTCTTTTCTTAGTTTTAATTCGTCTTTTATTTTCTCTGTCTGTAGATACTGGAAGCTGCAAGAATTTTTATTTTTTATAGTGGTCTAATTTATACCACATTTTTGGCTTACTTTACTAGCGTATTCCGGGCATACATAAAGAACTGTATTCGGTCTCAATGAAGACATTTCTCAGTTAGGCAGACTCCCTTTTTTATGTTGATTTGTATCTGTAGGTTTGTTTTGTTAGGAAATATACATCTTTGCACTTATTGGTGCTGGCAAGGAAGCAAACAAAATATTGGTTGAGAAAGGATTGGGGAGTGGGGGAGGGGGGTGTATTCAGCCTCTTTATACGTTTCCTACGATGGGGAAAAAAGGTTGGGGGTATTACAAGGGTGTAATTAATAATAATAATAATAATAATAATAATAATAATAATAATAATAATGTGTTGAATGTCACAGATATACAATGAAATTTTTGAATTAATGTGGTATGTAAAAAGAAAACCTTTAAAAGAAAACTACTATACACGGGGCAGGCGCCTAGCCCCTTTCATTTGGGGAAAATAAGGAGGGGGGGGGGGGGCTAATTTTGCCTGAGCTCCGAGATTTTCGAGACCCTGTTTGTTATTTTCTTTGTTTAGTCCGTGTTGCGTGTGTGTGTTAGTTTATGTCCGTTCACTGGCTGGGCTGCGGTTGGTAAACTACTGTACTTGAACTACATCTGTCCGCCAACCTGATGATACTGTTACTGGTACAGTCGGAACTGAAACGCCGCGCTTGCTGTTTAAGATGCGGACGGGGCTCATTTGGGAGTGTCGTGAGTGCTCTGATATCGGTTTTTTACTGATAACCCATTTCCGTAGATTGTTTTCAAAATCCTCTTCTTCGTCGTCTTCGCTGTAAAGTTTTGAGTGACATTTGGACTAATCTTGTCCCAGAATCTGAGTGTTGCATGCGCATACGTTTTACAGATCTCACTTTTGTTTATATGCGCAGACTTGTTTCCTTATCTCTCAATCACATGCACTACGACCTCGAAGGAAGCCCGTAATTAGTCGACTCTTACGACATGATTGTTTGGGAGGCAGTGAGTCTATCCTTGTTCTCTTCCCCCCCCCCCCCCCCCCCCGACCAATCGGACCTCGGAGTTTCAGAATGAAAGTATATTTGTGTCAGATTGTTTGCGTCCACGCTGTGTGACGCTGGGCCTCATATTTGTCTCCAACCTTCTGTCTCACACTCACAGCCAGTAGCTGCAGACACAGATGCTTCTTCATGCCACTATGCCAGACAGACTAACATCCTTAGTTTGGTTTCCCCCGGCCTCTCCTTCCCTCCAGATTTCTTGCTGTTTCCGGACCATCTCTCTATGCATGATTATATTGTTACTGGTCCTTGCTTCTGTTAAGTGCTGGGGGAGGGGGAGGGGTTGTCAGGGGGCGCTGCAGTCTTCCATCATCATCATTATCAGCGTTGTCGTTGTCGTTATCATCGCCTCATGCATCCTCCCTACTTCTATTCTCCGCCCACTTCTGCTTCAGAAATATAAAGAGATGAAGAAAAGGGAGAGTTTTAAAAAAATGGCTGAACTTCACGAGTCATAACAAGTCCAAAAAGTCAAGGCGGATTGACACGCCAGTGGGTATCTGGCATATGGTTCTCTACACAAATTGGTATAGACCAAACGGCACTCGATGACTGACGTGGTCAACATCACGCCGGCCGCATTTACTGCCCAAGACTTTTCCAGCCTGCCTTCCATTGGGGGCGCAAAAAAATTTCCGGGAGCGGGGTGCGTGCCTTCCATAGGGGGCGCAATGAAGTTTCCGGGGGGGGGGATTCCTGCCTCCCATAGGGGGTGCAAGGAAGTTTCGGGGGGGGGGGGGAGGTGCATGCCTTTCATAGGGGGTGCAAGGAAGTTTCCGGGGGGGGGGGGGGAGGAATTCCTGCTTCCCATTGGGGGCGCAAGGAAGTTTAGTTTCCGGGGGGGGGGGGGGTTCTGCTTCCCATAGGGGGTGCAAGGAAGTTTCGGGGAGGGGGGGGGGCGGGGGGGGGGGGGGGGCGCATGCCTTTCATAAGGGGTGCAAGGAAGTTTCCGTGGGGGGGGGGGGGAAATTCCTGCTTCCCATTGGCGGCGCAAGGAAATTTCCAGGGGGGGGGGGGATTCCTGCTTTCCATAGGGGGCGCAAGAAAGTTTCGGGAGGGGGGGATTTCCGTTTTCCGTAGGGGCGCAAGCAAGTTTCCGGGGGTGGGGGGATTCCTGCCTCTCATTGGGGGTGCAAGGAAGTTTCGGGGAGGGGAGGTGGTGCATGCCTTTCATATGGGGGGGGGGGAGGGGGTGCAAGGAAGTTTCCAGGGGAGGGGGGATTCCTGCTTTCCATTGGGGGCTAAAGGAATTTTCCGAGGGAGGGGGGGTTCTGCTTTCCGTAGGGGGCGCAAGTAAGTTTCCGGGTGCGGGGGGGGGGGGGGTCTGCTTTTCGTATGGGGGCAAAGAAAGTTTCCTGGGGGGGGGGAATTCCTGCCCCCCCCCCCCGCATAGGGGGCGCAAGGAAGTTTCCGGGGGAGGGGATTGCTGCCTCCTATAGGGGGCGCAATGAAGTTTCGGGGGGGGGGGAATTGCTGCTTCCCATAGGGGGCGCAAGGAAGTTGGGAGGGGGCGTTAAGCAATTTTGAAGATGAGTTTATTTGTACTTGTAGAAATCCGTTACACTTACAAACCGATTTACTTTAATTATACATTTTATGAAACATAACAAACAAGGAAATTTTTGTTTTTGTGACCAGTCTGCACATAATCCGTTAAAAAATTTAATAAATATGATAGCACGCGCGTTCAATTCTAGATTAAGAACATATTCTGACCAAAACATATCTCCATACTTTCTGTTCCCTTTGTTGTGCATTCTATTGTCATCCTATTTTTTAAATCACATTTTGTATTGTTGGTGGAGGGAAAAAAGGGATGGGGGGAGGGGGGGGGGGATTTTGCATATATTCAAGAGGGAAAACGTAGGTGGGAAGGGGGGGGGGGGGCTGAAACAAAGGTTGGAGACCGCTAGTCTAGACAGAGTGCTACCATTATATAAACGCTGGAACAAATAACAGACCAAATGTGCAGCAGTTTACGTAACTACATGTTTCCCTGGGCAACATTGTTTGATGCTGTCAGTCGCTCAGTGTCTCGCGAGCTGCATCAGATCTTTTTCCTTGTAGCCTACGCCTGTGTGTAGGTGTGTGTATGTTTGTATGTTTGGGTTTGTGTACCTTTCAGTCTGGTTCCCAGAGGTGAAATCAGATCCGACTGCACCTGCACTTGACTGACACATCGCCTGCTGCCTGCTGATTGGCTGCAACAATGTTTGCTTGTTCTTCGGTTTCCATTTTTCGTAATTTTGTTAGACAATATTAGCAGCCCTTGAGGTTTGGGCAGGGCTGCCAATGATGGGTTTTTTACCCCCAGATCTGGGATTTTATTCGACACCTTGGGTTCAAATTTTGAAATCTGGGTTAAAAAAAAAATATATATATCTATCTTTATATAAAAGTGGGCAAGGGTTTTGTTTCGTAACTGTACAATTTGTAGTTTTCAACAAACTGTTTTTTTTTTTTTGTTTTTTTTTTTGTTTATGTGTTGCTTGTTTTTTTTTGTTGTTGTTGTTGTTGTTGTTGTTGTTGATTATCTTAGCTGGGTTTTTATAAAAAAAAAAAAACCTATTGGCAGCCCTGGGTTTGGGTTGTCTGTGCCTCACACGCCCGTCCCCGCCTCACACGCCCGTCCCCGCCTCACACGCCCGTCTCCGCCTGTATTTTAGCTGTGCTCTTGCCAAACTCGAGTTCGCATTCTGCATTTGTTGTAGACAATACAACTACAAGCCCCTGGAACGTCACACTGCCCTGTTACTTTCTCTTGCTGTTTGGACACCATCTGTCTATCCGTCTATCCATCCCTCCGTCTGGCTGACAGTGTGTGTGTTTGTGTGTGTATAAGCGCACGTTTTCTGGGGGTGGGGGGAGGGAGAGGTGTACATGCGCGAGTGCGTATGCATTTTACCACCTATGCTTTTAAGTTCTTTCCTTGATATTAACAATATGCAAATTATTATACAAATCTAGCATGCTTTATTGATAAGATACAACTGCCGTGTAAAAGGTGGATGTTTGGAAGGACCGGATATAAGACGGACCTGCTTGCTGAATTTGTGACCCTTTGAAAAGAAAAGTTTGTTCGTTCGTTTTGTCTGTCTGTCTTTGTGGCTGTCTAGCTGGCTGCCTGTCTGTCAGTGTGCCTACCAACCTATCTGTCTATTCTGCTTGATGGCTGTTTACCCACCCCTCGGTGTGTTTTGCTGTCTGTCTATCTGTCTGTCTCACTGCTTGCTCATATTTCTGTCTGTCTACCTGCATACTGAAAAATCTGTCTGTCAGTTTGTCTGTCTATCTAACTATCTTTCTGTCTGTATCTTTGCCTGCTTGTCGGTAAAAAACAAAATGTCAAGAGATGCCAGTTCTGGAATTGTGGATTGATTCATTGATTCTGTTGATCACAGAGTTCCTCCAACTGCCCAGGAGCAAACAATACCTTGAAGCAAAGGGCCTCGACCGTCAACACGGCCATTTCCACTGCAAGTTCAGGCTTTCACTCGATGGTAACCCTAGATCCCTCAGTGCAAGTCTTCAGGTAAGTGACACAACAGTTGTCCTAGTGTGTGTAGACAGAACAGTTGTCCTGGTGTGTGCAGACAAGACAGTTGTCCTGGTGTGTGCAGACAGAACAGTTGTCCTGGTGTGTGGAGACAAGACAGTTGACCTAGTGTGTGTAGACAGAACAGATGTCCTGGTGTGTGTAGACAGAACAGTTGTCCTGGTGTGTGGAGACAAGACAGTTGACCTAGTGTGTGTAGACAGAACAGATGTCCTGGTGTGTGTAGACAGAACAGTTGTCCTAGTGTGTGTAGACAGAACAGTTGTCCTGGTGTGTGGAGACAGAACAGTTGTCCTAGTGTGTGTAGACAGAACAGTTGTCCTGGTGTGTGGAGACAGAACAGTTGTCCTAGTGTGTGCAGACAGAACAGTTGTCCTAGTGTGTGTAGACAGAACAGTTGTCCTGGTGTGTGCAGACCGTAAAGTAACCCTAGTGTGTGCAGACAGAACAGTTGTCCTGGTGTGTGCAGACCGTAAAGTAACCCTAGTGTGTGGAGACAGAACAGTTGTCCTAGTGTGTGCAGACAAGACAGTTGTCCTGGTGTGTGGAGACAGAACAGTTGTCCTGGTGTGTGCAGACAGAACAGTTGTCCTGGTGTGTGCAGACAGAACAGTTGTCCTGGTGTGTGCAGACAGAACAGTTGTCCTTATGTGTGCAGACAGAACAGTTGTCCTGGTGTGTGCAGACAGAACAGTTGTCCTGGTGTGTGCAGACAGAACAGTTGTCCTGGTGTGTGGAGACAGAACAGTTGTCCTAGTGTGTGCAGACAGAACAGTTGTCCTGGTGTGTGCAGACAGAACAATTGTCCTAGTGTGTGCAGACAGAACAGTTGTCCTGGTGTGTGCAGACCGTAAATTAACCCTAGTGTGTGCAGACAGAACAGTTGTCCTAGTGTGTACAGACAGAACAGTTGTCCTGATGTGTGTAGACAGAACAGTTGTCCTAGTGAGTACAGACAGAACAGCTGTCCTGGTGTGTGTAGACAGAACAGTTGTCCTAGTGTGTGCAGACATAACTGTTGTCCTGGTGTGTGCAGACAGAACAGTTGTCCTAGTGTGTGCAGACAGAACAGTTGTCCTAGTGTGTGCAGACAGAACAGTTGTCCTAGTGTGTGCAGACAGAACGGTTGTCCTAGTGTGTGCAGACAGAACAGTTGTCCTAGTGTGTGCAGACAGAACAGTTGTCCTAGTGTGTGCAGACAGAACAGTTGTCCTGGTGTGTGCAGACAGAACGGTTGTCCTAGTGTGTGCAGACAAGACAGTTGTCCTGATGTGTGCAGACAGTAAAGTTACGCAAGTGTGTGCAGACAGTAAAGTTGCCCTAGTGTGTAAGGACAGTAAGTTGACATAGTGTGTGTAGACAGTAAAGTTACCCGAGTGTGTGCAGACAGTAAAGTTGCCCTAGTGTGTAAGGACAGTAAGTTGACATAGTGTGTATAGACAGTAAAGTTGCCCTAGTGTGTAAGGAGAGTAAGTTGACATAGTGTGTGCAGACAGTAAAGTTGCCCTAGTATGTAAGGACAGTAAGTTGACATAGTGTGTATAGACAGTAAAGTTGCCCTAGTGTGTAAGGACAGTAAGTTGATATAGTGTGTGTAGACAGTAAAGTTACCTAAGTGTGTGCAGACAGTAAAGTTACCCGAGTGTGTGCAGACAGTAAAGTTACTCGAGTGTGTGCAGACAGTAAAGTTACCCGAGTGTGTGCAGACAGTAAAGTTGCCCTAGTGTGTAAGGACAGTAAGTTGACATAGTGTGTGTAGACAGTAAATTTGCCCTAGTGTGTAAGGACAGTAAGTTGACTTAGTGTGTGTGGACAGTAAGTTGATATAGTGTGTGTAGACAGTAAGTTGATTATAGTGTGTGTAGACAGTAAGTTGATATAGTGTGTGTGGACAGTAAGTTGATATAGTGTGTGTAGACAGTAAGTTGATACAGTGTGTGTAGACAGTAAGTTGATAGAGTGTGTGTAGACAGTAAGTTGATATAGTGTGTACACACAGGACAGTTACCTGAGTGTGTATACAGTATAGTTACCTTAGTGTGTGTAGACAGTATAGTTACCTGAGTGTGTGTAGACAGTAAGTTGACATAGTGTGTGTAGACAGTAAGTTGATATAGTGTGTGTAGACAGTATAGTTACCTGAGTGTGTGTAGACAGTATAGTTACCTGAGTGTGTGTAGACAGTATAGTTACCTGAGTGTGTGTAGACAGTAAGTTGACATAGTGTGTGTAGACAGTAAGTTGATATAGTGTGTGTAGACAGTAAGTTGATATAGTGTGTGCAGACAGTAAGTTGACATAGTGTGTGTAGACAGTAAAGTTGTCCTAGTGTGTGAGGACAGTAAGTTGACATAGTGTGTGTAGACAGTCAAGTTGCCCTAGTGCGTAAGGACAGTAAGTTGATATAGAGTGTGTACACAGTAGGTTGATATAGTGTGTGTAGACAGTAAGTTGATATAGTGTGTGTAGACAGTAAGTTGATATAGTGTGTGTAGACAGTAAGTTGATATAGTGTGTGTAGACAGTAAGTTGATATAGTGTGTGTAGACAGTAAAGTGTGTGTGTGTGTGTGTAAGAGGAAAAAAAGAGAGAAAGAGTCTTGGTTTAATTTGTTCTCCATTCCTTTCTGAAGTGCTAAAAAGCCCATCTTACCTTTTGCATT